TCGTTGCCGTTGTTTCAAACTTTTGTAAGAATATATCAGAAGCGTTCTAGGGATGCGGGGTATAGAAAACGTTGGGAGCCGCTGCCTTAATGTATATTTCCTTACTGGAATGCCCTACTTCATGTATCACAGTAACTTGGCACGTTTGCTTACTTTTGACTTTGCAAGGCTCATGCGCTGCTCCTTTGTGGTAATAAAGCAATAAAATACCATGAGCCAGAGGTGCAGAGTAGGAGGGGTTGTGCGATAAGGCCGCACGAGCTCCTTTTATAAAATATGCTTTCAACTGGGGAAAAAGAGAGAGGACACCTCTCCCGTCAGACTGACTTTCGGAGGAAATACCTGAACCAAGAGGTTATTTAGGGATCATTGCAACTGCCGCCAACCCGTCCCTTACTTTAAGTTCCTTACTTATACGTCAGACACCTGTGCTAGGTGGCCTTCACGCGCAACCAGGAAGACTCCACAAAGAGGCGGGAAACTGAGCGGCCGACTGGCACACGATTCCGCTCCCTCGCGCTTAAGATTCTCGCCTTTCGGCGGATAACGCTCTTCTCGGCGATTGGTGCCTCCCGTAAACTTGAGGGACGGACCCTGGCACAGAGGCCGGCATTTGTCGCAAGCACGCCACGCCCATCGACCCCCAGGCTAGCGATTGGCTTCGAGTGTTCCGGGCTCATGACTATGTAGCAAGTGTATTCAAATCAGACGGTTGCCAAGGTAATTTGAGGCCTTGCCATACACGCTAATCCTTGGAAGAGGCCCGGGAGGGCCGAAAGGACCAAGGACTAGTAAGTCCCCGGGACGCCGGTAGAAGGCTTGAGAGGCTTGTAACCTGCCAGGCGTGACTCGATGAGGAGTTCATTTTCTCTTTTTCTTTTGACGTGCCGTGGGGTCTTTTGTCTTCTGTCTGCAGTCAGAAGAAATTAGAAGCAGGTAGGAAAGGGATTCTCTTTCATCATTTTTTTTATTTACTGAGTTTTTTAAAAAAAAAAATTCAAGCCCAAGTATTATATTTGCTCTCTTTGCTGCTTTTTCAATTGATGGGGAAACACATTCCATAGTCTTCCGCTGTTTTTAAGTCGCCTTGCAGCGAGATGAGCGACAAGCGAATTTAATAAATAAATTTCTCGTTATTCCATAGTGTGTTTTGACTTGGGAAACAATGAATGACACGGTCAAATAGCCAACGTTAGTTCGCTTGACTAAAACTAAAAGCCCAGAAAGGTTTATTCAGGAATAACCCTTATTAATAATAATAAAAAGGTGGAATTTATTTTTGAGTCAGCATGAGCAGGATTCTACTGCGACTCCAGTCCTCACTGGATGGACTGCATTTTAAATCAACATGGATATAGGGTGGATATATATGATGCTTCAAAGCATGGAAATTACATTTTTTCTGGAATCTGTACTCTGAACATAAAATGTGCAATGTTACTAAATATTTACCTAACATGAAGTGCACAAATAAGAGATAAAATTGATATCATAGCATATTAGTTAGCACTTATTGATTGTTCTATTAGCTATTACATATTTAACACATACACAGATATGTAGAAGAGACTAGTTTTCTTCAATAGAAAGACATGTGTTTTCTTTTGATTCTTTGAATTTTGGATGAAAAACCAAATTGAGTGCTTACAATCTTTTCAGATTTATCATTGGTTGCTCTGCTTATTTACTTGAAATTGCCCCACTGGTATTATAGTTTATTTCCTAAGAACCCTGAAATATAATACTGAATAAGAGTGGACTTCAAGCTTCTGTAGGAAATGGCTTATGATTATTGGTTGTTGTAATCAATTTTGAGTCATGTTCTGGAACCTGTTACCACATTTTAATAAATATTTAATTATTTCAATACATGTTACACTTTCAGTACACTTTTAATTCAAACTATGTGGAGTTGTGAGTTAGACTAAATAGGAAGTTCTAAATAAAATTTCTTGTCAGTAAAATTGTTGGAAACTGGGGATAGCATATTTGGCCAGTATTTTTTTATTAGTTTGCCAGGTTAAAACACTGTAGGAAACTGTAGTTGGTTACTTACTACATATTCATTACTTGCCCCTCCCCAATAATTAAGTCAGCACAATGCATATAAATCTAAGGTTTGCATACCTATAGTTAAACTCTGACTCTCCTGTATCTCTATAATCAGATTCCTTCAAAATACAGTACAATAATTGAGTATCATATTAAAGACTATTGTCTTTGAACAAGAATAGTAAAGGATAGTAAAATCTGAAATCTTGCATTTCAAAATGAGCTTTGGGCAACTTCAAATCATGTGCCCATATATTCAGCAGTTTGTCCTGTACACAATGAAAATTGATCTTGTCTGAAAGAATTGTTTATACAAGTCACAGCATTAACTATGTGCTTCCCATTGTGCACATTTAAAAAGTCTTTAAATAAATAAGCAGTCCCATCGGAAAACAAGTTATTGTAACTTTGGACCATCAGAAGAAATCGGAATAAATAAGCGACATCAGCCTTCTAAAGCTACTGTGATATTAACAGATGAAATAGCTGCTAAGAATACCTTAATCAACCCAGAATATAAGATAAAGACATACACTTACACTTCTTACTCTGTGTCATTGACTACTCTGGTGGGAAAATCTTTTATGGCATCAAAATTAACAATTTGTCTGTGTGGGTAAGCACCCTTGGATTTAGTTTGAGAAAAGATTTATTCATCAAATTTGTAGGCTGACCAACTATATCTGGATTGAATGCATTTACTGTGTCATCTAATATTTTATTTTTGACTGTGGCTTCTGATACTATTCAAGAAATAGACAAAACAGTATTTTCATTTATACTCTTCAATCAGAGTTGTATGAACTTGAGGCTCTGAGGCTGCCCTCAGAAGCTTTTAATTCAAAGATTTCCAAATGTGAAGATACAGATAATCTTCAACGTACAACCACAACTGAGCCATTGCTAAGCAAGACAGTCGTTAAGTGAGTTTTTCCCCCTTTATGACCTTTCTTCCCACAGTTAATCACTGCAGTTAAGTTAATGACTTCTGACAAGCAAAGTCATTGCAGCTGTTAAGGTAGATGTTAAGTTACCAACTTCTGATAAGTCAATGGTGAAGCCAGATTTCCTTAACAAATTTTTAAGTGAAAACTTACTCATTAACTTTACTTATCAGAAAGCGATCACATGATCCTGGGACCCTGCAACCATCATAAATACATGCCAGTTGCTAAGCATCTGAAGGTTCACATGACCTCAGAGATGCTGCAGTGATCGCAGTGTGAGAAACAGTCATAAGTCACTTTTTTGTGTGCCACTGTAACTTTGAACAGTTACTAAACAAATGATTGTAAATTGATGAATACATGTATATAAATCAGCGGTTCTCAAACTTTGGGTCGCGACCCCATTTGGGGTCGAACGACCATTTTACGGGGGTCGCCAAACAAAGCGATCCGCCATTTTTTCCCTCAGGGGACGCCGCCGCGCATGCGTGCTGCGCATGGGGGCACCGCCGCGCATGCGTGCTGTGCATGGGGCAGCACCGCGCATGCATGCCACGCATGGGAGCGGTGCTGTGCATGCATGCCGCGCATGGGGCACCACGCATGCGCGGCTCACATGGCGCTGCACATGCACACCATGCATGGGGCCCCACCACGCATGCACGGCACACCGCGCATGCGCGGTGCGTCCTTATGACCGGGGTCGCCGTATAAAAAGGTTGAGAACCACTGATATAAATGGTATAATGATAATTGTTCATTAAAAATAAATTTAATTTTTTTAAATTGTAAATGAAATGAAGTACAGATTAGATTTTGCCATAGACACATTTGGAATACTGTTTTTCCCCACTGTTACGTTTAAGTTTCTTCTAAGGAATTACAGATTATATACATTGTTTTTCTATCCCAGCATTTTGCATAAAATTCTTGCAAGAATCCTGTTGATTAAAATAGGTAGTGATAAATATTTAGCACAAGATCATCAATAAAATTCATGGCTGAGGTAAATATTTAAATTTAGATATAACTTCCTATTTAAATTGTACGGTTTTGTGTGGTGAATGAGATGGTACAATTGGAAATCAGCAAATTGCCAAGTATTTTTCAATCAAATGCTCAATTCTTCACCTGCTCAAATCCATTAATTTTTTGACCTTTCCTACTTTTATGAAACAAAAATAAAAAAATGAACTCTGAAATATGCTAAGTGTAACTTCTACACTCTACCCCTAAGGTATTTGAGAACCTAGGTAATAACATTCATTGTGAATAGAAGTTAGAGCTATTGGTCACAAAATAGCACCTCTCCTCTTCTCCACATCTTGGAATTTTCTTCTGTGGAGAAACTGTCTTTGATTCAAAAAATTAAAATCATATACAAGTCAGTTTAAAAATTAATATTTACCAATAAAACATAGCCATTTAATTAAGAAAGAAGCAAGCATCAAAAGCAAAATATAAATGAAGCAAACAAACAGAAGCTGTTAAAAATCTTTCTGCCATCAGCAATACTAAAAAAGAAGATGACTCATACCTAGATCAGTTTCCATTTGCTGTTAAAAGTCAAGGAAGTAGCTTTTGCTTGCAATAAATTCTTTTAAGAAAGAGCTCTATATTTGATTCACATTAATTCCATCTGAGTTGAAGGCAATGTAGAACAAAGATTTTCAAGTGGATCTGAGAGCAGAAGAGAAAATGCTCCATAAGGTATGTGGGATGTATGTCCTTTTATTGAAATACCAATATCTCGCACTGAGTTTTAGAACTGAATAATGATAGATACAGATGAGCTTAACTTGTTATTTTAAACATTCCATCTCTCCACTAGAAATCATAAATAGAATTCTACATTATCTGTAGTAAATCTATAAGGTATCTAGATCTATGTAAAATATACTACAATAAGATTTTGAATACGTTTGAATATAATATTTGCCTATTTACTCTATATTCTTCTACATTAAGTAATAATTTCATTTTTCCCTTTATTTACTACAGGAGAACTTCAGTGCCATTTCAAGAAAATAAATAGAAGATAAATATCTCAAATTTGTGTACTGCAAGTGGAGTTGCTGTTGGAAAAAAGACATGGTGGATGGCATGACAAGTAAATAGTGATACAATAATAATTTTAAAGATACAAAAATATAGCATAAAATGTATAAAACCCTTTGGTGAGAGTACCTGGAGGAAGACCTCCAAAGAAGGCTAAATGCCTAGGTGGTCTATATGGAATTTTGCATGTTTGATAGCTATGGTCTGACTTGTTTAGTATTTTGACAAAGGAATCAGTGCAATGACAAACAGTAGTGGTGGTAGTGAGCCTCCTTGAAAGATTCCTCTTTTGATATCAACCTTTCTCAGTCTATCACCATTGACCAGCAACTGCATCTTCTATTGTGCCAATGATCTTTTCACAAAACTTCTGATGTTTCTACTGATACCTGTTATTTCTAGACATTTGGTTATAATGTGGGAGGGGGTTGAATGCCTTTTGGGAATCAATCTATGCTACATTCAAGTTGGTTTTCCTTCTCTTGCAGTTTTCCAAAATTATCTTGTCAATTAGGAGCTGATTTTTTGTTGATGTTGTTCCTCTGCTGTTGGGCAGTTTCCTTTCTGCTCAGGTGGGAAGAGCTTGTTTTCAATTAGATGCTCTTAGACTGCATCAGCTACCACACAAGTTAGCAATTTGAAAGTTGTAGATAAGCATATAACTGGCCTGTAGTTGTCTGGTGCTGCCCTTTTGTTGGATCTTTTATTATCAGGTAGGTTTTACCAGATGCTAATCAATTTCAAATTTCACCTCTTTGCAGTATATCGTTAAACTACTTGGCAATGCGCTAGTATAGACCAGTTAGATGTTTTGACCAAAAAAACATGTAGCTCATCTTCATCTAGTGCTGACCAATTCTTGATTTTTCTTGCCCTTTTTTCTGCTATTTCTGCTGTTATTATTAGTCCTTTCATTTCATTTTTTCAATTCTTATTTATCTCCTTTTCTTTCATTTGTTTTAGCTTGCTTGTATCTGATCTTAGCTTGCGGATCTTATTTTCCAGTCTGATTTTTCATTTTGGTGGTGCACTGTTTGGCTATTTTGCATCCTAGATATTCAGTTATAACTGCAGATATGCTCTACATTACTTGGTTTGTTTCCTGCAGTAAATTGGTGCTTATATTTGGTATTACAGTATTGGCATCTTTTAGTATTTGTGCTAGCTGTTTCTTTGGAACAAGCTGAAATTCTGTTGTCTTTGTGCTGTTCTAGATGTTCAGTTATTCTTTGTTTCAATTCCTTTTCTTTTTTAGTTAGAAGGCTTTGCTCTTTCTGAGGAGACGGCAGAGAAGAGGATGCTTGGTTTGAGAATGAAAATGATTCAGTAGCGATGCTGGCTTCTTCTTCTGCTGATTTCCCCAGCTTGCAGTTACAGTCTGAGTACTTCTATCAAGACTTCTGATTTTTTTTTTTTTTTTTTGCTCTGGGTATATACTGCAGTACTTCCAATTCTCCTTCTGTAAATACTTTATTTCATATTATAAAATCAGCATTGATCTTGTATCTGTTATTTCTGATTGTGGATGATGTTCTTTCCAGAACTGGTGCTTTCTTTTCAGATACCTTCTTCTTATTGGCCTTGTTTAATAATGACAGATAATTATCTTTTTTTCAATCTTTATACACGTTGATGGGTAAACAATTTTAATTCCAATAGTTTTGCAGCTACTGTCCTTAGTTGTTTAGCTAACAAACCTGAGTCCTGTAGCCCATTTACTACCAAATGTTCAGGAATTCCTTGTTGACCTGGCAATGATCAATCTGGTATGGGCTTTGGTAGATTATGTATCACCATATTGTTTTTGGGAGAGGCATTCTTAGTCCTCTGAGGAGACCTGTCCTGTATAGTTGAACCTCCGGCATTGTTCTCACCTATCTCGGAGAACACAAGTCCAAAAACCATAACAAGGTACCTTTATTAATTATTTATAAATATCATTTAAACATTTTAAATTTATTTCATTTTCTAAAATACTTGGTGGCACTCTCCCTCCAACTCTATTATTTATTATGCAGTTTTATGCATAATTTAATGTGTGATTTAATATTTTCAGTTGGGCTTATTTCCAGGGACATGGATATATTATCACAGATGCAAAGTGCAACAAGAAAGAAGTGACGATTACTACTTTATCTCAATAGATTAATGAATATACAGTGGCTTGAAATTTTGATCCATCTGATTCCATCGTATGGTTTTCCTTTATTTTTTCCCCCTTTACTTGATAATTCTGCATAAAAACAAAAATATAAAATCCAGGGAACATAGTGTAACCTGTCTGTAGTCTTCAATAATAAAAAAAAAACAAATGGGAAATTATTTGAAATGTATTCCCTAGTTTATTTGGCAGGAATTCTTTGACACAATTAAGAATACAGCAGATACCTCCAGCTGTTTATGATGGTTGGTATGAAAGGTTTTGTATGACCTTTGCATGCACCCTTGTTCCAAGGATGTTGTGAGGATTTTTTTTTTTTTTTGCTGCTGCTATTTTCTCTTTAGCAACCTGTGTAAAATATTTAGCTCCAATCCTAGAAGAAGAAAGAGGATTGATCTGCCTCCTAGAAAATTTTTTTTGTGTTTGCCTTTAATAATAGAATCTCCTTATGGAAACCAAGATTCGTCTAGGCAGCTGCTGAAAGCCATGAAAAATTGGATTGATGCAAATAGCCATGTACATTATTACCTTTTTTGTATACCATTTTGGGTTTGCATTGTTTATCATTTATTGGTTTTATATCTCTGATCTTCGTAGTATACAGCTTTCTCCTGTTTACCACTAAGAGATGGAGAAAGACTCAGGGACGAACATATACTCTTCATCATGCAATCTTTCTGTGATAATTGCTCTTTTCCATTTTTCTCAAAATTAGGGACCTAGCTGAAGGTATAGTTCTTCCCTTTATCTGAAAGAAAAAGACTATAATCAAAGATTATTGATTATCTGAAGTCAATTGGTACATTTAATTGACAAATAAGTACTGCTTTAAAAATAGCTTTTTATATAAAAGTACATTTAATGAAAACACTATAATTAAAAATTTTTAAACTGACCTTTTCATTATTATTCATAAACAAATTTGTTATTGCCCGGAAAGTAAAATGAATTGTTTACTGATGTTGAATGAAAGCCATATCTCTGTGCTCTTAGCTTTTAGTTTGTCTACAACCAAGTTTATATAACAAGATCAGGTCTTATATGATATAAGCTAATACATAAATGTAGGCAAGAATGGTTTTTCCATTAGGAACTAATTGACATAGCAGTTGTTTCTTGATGACATAATAATAAATCTTGTTTTCTGAGAGGGCATTTTTTCAAACTACAGCTAAAAATGGTATTCATAGTTCTTAAGGACATTCAGAAGAATGTACTATATATTCTGATTCAAATCAACTTCTCTAAGATATTATGTCTGCATTCCATACATATTTGTTTCACATTTTCAATTGGTAGAATCTCAATATATTTGATAAGTATATCCCTTTTAAAGGTCTGTCTTGATCAAGCATTCAGCACTTGCAAGTTAATCATAACAGTACTTCTATACGAAATTATTTTTGAGGACAGCCTGAAAAGTCCTATTGGTTTGAAATGCTGTGATAGAGTAATGGTTGGGTCAGCAGAATGCTCATATCTTGGGCTTTGTCACCTTTGGCTGGCTGGATTATGACTGATGAGGAAAAAAATTGGCACATTGTATGACACCTAAATAATGGAATTACCTCCCAAGACAGAAGAGCAAAGTTCAGTTTGCCTACTTTTAAGTGAGTGCAATATTAATTATTTTTGCTATTAACTTTTACCGTGAAATATTTGTATCACTGGCCTGCTTTTGCAGCTTTGTCTTTGAAAAGTGGGACATAATAGTCTAAATAAAAATAATAGTTATAGAACAAATGAAACAACTGTTTCTGGGTCAGAAATAAGAGTCTAGAAGCAAAATTTAAAATTGGAGTATCTCAAACATTTTCACAATATTACAGAAAAAATATTTATTCATGGATATTCAGTAATTGACACTTTGCACTAATATTGTATTGTGTTAGTTTACAGTTCAAGTAATTCTATTAAAAAGAGTTGTGCATTATTGCCACTACATTGCTACATTGTAGGATTCTGCTGTCATGTTATGTTCTGTAATAAAAAAGTATATTTCTTGTTATCAAGAAGATCAGATCACCAATTTGTTTCCAAGTGTTTTTTAATTCTTTTGTTCCCCTAAATGTTGGAAAAGAGTTAGTGGGTGTGGTACTTTATACAGCTGTTATATATTAGCAAATACTAGCTTGGATTGTCTTTCAGTTCACTGGTAATTTTGTAATACAGCATATTTTATTTCTGTTGTATACTGGCTATTCTGTTTAATATAATCTAAAGGAAAATCAGATAATTGAACAATGTTGGCTATAACAAATCAGGCTGTAACTTCAAATATTAAATCATCAATCCTCAAAATGTATAAATAAATTCCCAAATGTATTTTAGATGAGGATTTTGTAGTGGAACAGTTTTTTTATTGGATTTATATTCCCCATATTCAACCAGCTCTATTATACTGAAATGTTAGATAAAGCAGCTTATTTTACATAAGGTGATTCACTGGTTGTTTTCTGCATCTTCATGAGAATTACATATTCTAATAGAAAAGAATATATGCAGCTTCGGGTTAAACTGCAGAGTCCTTGGTGCACTGATGATGTTACCTAGTTGGGTAATACTTGCAAGCAAACAACCAAGTTCAGAGAACAGCATGGATTCCACAAAATTATATATTATTGCATTTTTTCCTTCTTATTGTATTACACTAAAAATGTTTTCTCAATCTAAGTTGTTCTACCTATCCTAAATGAGAATGACATATTGCACAATTTATCATTTCTGTCTTTATGATACAAGATGTCATAAACCTCATCTAAGATGCAACCTAGTAGGGGGTTTAATAGAATAACATGCTAGATCATCTACATTTCTGCAGTTCCTGTTGACCAAGATAGAAAGATGAAGCACTTTTTTTAGCTTAACAGAATTTTGTTAATTAGAATTCT